GTCCTCGCTCCAGGGACACAAGGTTCAACATTCCTTTCGTTCAGAGCTTTCGTGAAGAAGTCTGACCATCTCGTTGGCGGCCCCTGCTTCCATAGGATCACGGAAATACGCATTCAAATTGAACAGCTGATTACGAAATTTTTGAACTATGAACAGCCTCAGACCTTAGAATGTCGATGAAGCAATAGAAGTCGTAAAAGTTTGAACAGTTTTCCTATTAGAGCAAACTTCCCACAATTTCACCTGATAGACGTTCCCAAGATCTCATCTGCAGGGCAACTTGTTCTTGAGAGCTGTATGGAAGGAGGATCAGTACGATCGCATACTCAGATCGGCATGTCCATCGCGAAGTTTTCGGTAATCTTTCAGTTCAATCGCAGGCAATTACAGTACTTTAGCGGTCGGCGGTGTTTATCGTAGAGGAAGGCCAGTTGCGCGAAATCTCGTGTGATCGACCTCGAAACGACCACTTCAAAGGCTGTAACCGCTCTGAAAAACTTCTTACTGTCATCTACGATTGCTAGCCATGACCACAGTTGAAGAACATCCCTTCACCACAAAGCCGAACCTACTTTTTCCTTGTGCAACTGAAAAAAGAGCCGAACCGCATGAAAGAATCCGCATCGACCGAAGGACGCCAAGGTGACATTGTTCAGCCTTCAACTTCGAAAACATAGACTTTCCCATTCGAATCGCCCCTCTGTTTGCTAATAACCAGTGAACGGTCGGACTAATCAGAAATCGCATCTTCGAGTGGTGTCTGTGGTTTTTTCGACATTACTTGCCGATTACTCGTCGACGTCGTGGTGTTTTTTCGTCAGGCAGCGGTTCGATTCGCCTTTCGCCACCTCTGCGAATCTCATGTAAGACATCCACAAAAACCTCACATCATTAGCGGATCAAAGCGAGTTCGACTCTCTTGTTCAACGTTTTTCTTGCGATGACGGCCTTCACGTTTTAGGCTGTTACAACCGTAATCTCGGAACGTGGCAATTCAAATCTGTAACCTTACCCGTACCTGCTTTTTCAGACGCCTTCTTCTTCATCGTTTGGAGGCACATCCCGTAATTAGGCATTCAGGTGACACAGCAGTGGTCACGTGCTGTACATCATATTATGTAATATACTATTAAATATGTGATAAATACCTTCATACGGAATCGGCAGAAGGGCGGATCCTCCCAATAGGGATCCTCCCAATCCTTTCTGCTGCTACGGGTGAACTATACCCACTGAAGGCCTTTCGTCTCGGAAACAGCAAATATCCAGGATGGCAGCGACTTTCCTGCGACCGAAGAACAAAAATTTCATTTGCAATGCCACCATTAGTGTATGTTGTAACGTAAAACTCGGAAAAAACCATTTATCAATCAACATAATTCCGTGGCTTGTCAATATGAAAGGAAGTTCAAATTCTGTGGCTGAAATGAAATAATCACAGTATTTCCCAAAAGGCTTTGTTGGGCAGTATTTGATAATATCAATTTTTCTGATCGATGTCGATTCGTGACTCATACCTGCAAAGAGTACTATTTCCTTCATTGACGGTTGAATCCTTGGAGAATTCCGTAGTCAGTTCCGCGGTCAATTATATTATCTTAAGAGGTGATGTTGAAGTCACGATATGCGATTCCTTTGCGGTACATGCTTTGAAAACAATTTTTCTCCCACTCACCATTTCATGCAGTCCAGTACCTTTTCTTAACCTTCTGCCGATAGCAAATGAACGAACAGGTAGATATGCAGAAAAGAAAATCTCCTAGATAAAAACAAGGTAGGCTTCAACGCAGGGCAGAAAATCCGTGGGTGGGAAGTAAAAACACTGAAACTGACGTAAGCAGTTTTTTGCTTTTCGGTGAGCTCGAATCTATAAGTGGGGTGAATACACTTGAAGTAAAAAAACGGTGCTATTAGAAGCTCAACAGTTACAACATCAAAGCCATGGTCTTGCAGAAAAACTAGGTACACAAGGGAAAATCTGAAGAGTACACTTATCCATGAACCGTCAGAGGAATTATTCTATCTGCGTGCTCCTGGGTGATCCTATCTTTCGTAGTGTAGGAGCCTACTCCTTCGGAGTATATGTATCCAAAAACATTCACCAGCGCAGCAGGCGCTTGGAGTTGGGTGTTGAATTGTAGCTGCCTTCGCTGAACTTCTACGACCAATTTGCATGACACTTCTGGAACCTGTACGTTACAGCAGGACTCAGGTCTGCATGGACCCTTCTAAATAGATACTAGAGAAATGAGTTGGTGCACTGGGTTAATATTGTTTCCAAGTGTCTAACCTAGTGTCTACTTACGATATATTTTATTGGTTTGGGAGAATCGAAAGGAAGTTGACACTAAGGCGTCCGAAATCAGCAATTTCCAGCCTATCACTACCGCTTTCAAGGCCAAAGTGCAACATGAAAACTCAGCGATCTCCGACTGTACAGTTGATGGATGTTCGGCGACCGTTGGTGGGTCAGTTCCTAGACGGAAACTTCAAAACTCGGGTATACGCAAAGCTCAAGGCTATCGTCAATTACGGCTCACCTCTCTGACCTTTCTTTTCGAGAAGCGCAGGAACGCCTTATGCATGAATGACGATGTCGTTTCAAATATTTGCCTACACAACTTGGGTACACGCAAGTTACGGTAGGTAAACATAGAGGGAGA